ACTAACTAAGGACCAAGACGGGAGTTGACAAAGCAAGAAATTCATCTTATCTATAATCATCTATACAATATAATGTAAAAAAGTTGCACTTAGGTAAAGAAGACTCTTAACCCGAAGTCACACCTTGTTAATAGGTTTTTTAGGTAACTAACTATTTTGTCAAATATCTTACGAATTATAGTTAGTCAATTTATAAAGATTGGTCTCTTTTGAAACTTACTGAACTTTTTTCTTGTTTTACAAACACGGTCCCAAAAACAGAACCGAAAAACTCTACTCAAAAAGAAAATACAGAAAAGAACGATCATACCGCAAATCTGAGTGAACTATATTTCTTTGCTCTGATTACACCCTAATTGAAACTTCCAGTGTACCTACCTACTTATAATCAGGCGTACTTCTAGTAACATTTAATTTGAAATCTACAAAAAATTAGACCCTATTAACAAGATTCCGTTACATTGTTTCTAATTCCTTTAGGTATATATTATAGTCCGGGAAATAGAGACTGAACATTGACATAGAGTAAACTTACTGTATGACATTGATCATTTCCTGCAAAACGAGAAGTAGTTCCATTTTTTTTTGCATGACATGAAGGAATATCTTGGTTAAGAATCCAAGTTTTCGACCTCCCACCCCTTGTGCTTCTCCCGTAACACCCCTAAAACCAAAGAAATTTGGTTGGTTTTTTAGTTTTTTAATCATTCTTTTTATAGGTTCACTTTACAAAAAAATATTGTTATTAGAAATTGTACCTAGACCATCAAATTTTAAACAAATTTATTATACTTCTTCGTAATTTTTTTATACTTCAAAAGATAAATAATATGTACATATTTTAACATAAGTGTATGTTATCTCTATAATCGTAAGATTAATATCGATTATAAAGCTATGGTGTTATTAATTTGCGTACGTTGTACTCCTATCAAAGGGGATGATAGAACTTTAACCCCTTGATCGTAGTAGGTATTTGAATCACTGTGTGATTATGGCGCTTTGGAATACAATTACCAAATAAGGAGTTCATTTTAGTCCCTTCCATTTCCTACAAAAAGGGATGATTACTTTAACCCCCTATAGTAGTGATTGTTCAACTATCTAAGATTAGGTATAAGTACCTACCGCTTTCGAACACAATTTACAAACCATTATTTTACCTATATGAACATGAATAGTTAACATTTTTTATTTGCTGCAAAACTCTCTCTGGGGACTAACTTATGAATCGCCACAAGGGGGTTGAAATATTCATTCAGGGGGTGAAGCTGAACTGATGTGAGACAATTTTTTTTAATTCCAAACGTATATTAAAAAGCGCTACAATCTCACAGTGATTTAAATATCCCCACTAGCAAGGGTTGAAAGTTGAATTATAATGCATCGCCTTTGGTTAGGGTGTAGGGTAGGGTATACCACGATAACTTCAAGATATTCTCTCATAAAACTCTTCATTATAGAGATAAAATATAAAATTTGGTTAAAACATCTACATAGAAATTTCAGAATTCTTAAAAATATAAGGTAATTTGAAGCTCTATATCTTTTTTAATAAACATTTCACAAAAAAGTAGCGTATAGGTATCAAAGTTGTGTAGAATTTTATGGTCTACAATATTTTTTTCTAAAGTGAACCACTACAAAGATATGATTGAAAAACTAATAAACAAACCAAATTTCAGGGGTTTTGGGGGTGGTACGGTGGAAGCACAAGGAGTGGGAGGTCAAAAACTTAGATTCTTAATTACCAGATGACTGCTTATGACATGCAAAAGAAATTGGAACTACTTCTCATTTTGCAAGTTAAAACCCTCTAATACGTCAAGAGGGGATTGTCGAAGGAGAGTAGGGTACTCACAAAAGGCGATTGGGAAGTTTGGAAGAAATATTTTGTCGGTGATTGCAAAACATTCAGAGTGAATATCTCGAAAAGGATTTGTAGGAGGGGAGTACTCACAAAGACAAAATTTATTCTTCATGGTACTTTAAGGTCTCAACCAAAGGAATTGACTTCTATCAACTAGCGCTTTCTTCCACGACCTATTGTATCGGGATCGGTTATAATTCCTTGCCTTTTTGTAATTGAGGAGGGGGGCTGATATTATCTTTCATGGCATTCTAATGAAAAGTCTCAACAGCAGGAATTAATTCCTACTGTCCCCCTCTTACATCTTTTCGAGATAAGTTATAATTTCTCATATCTCCAGAACAGTGTCGGACGAGAGTACACACAAGGGATGTTTGGACGAGACATCTATTGATGATGTCAAAAGAGCGAATTGGTAATTATTACTAATCACTTACAATCGTGAAGATTTGGGATCAATGGGACCCCTAAGTTACCTAATTATTTTTGGAATTATAGGGGTAATTATCAAAAAGTAAGTTTCTAGCAGTGACCTTATTCTGAAATCGATTTCGATTAGACTTGAAGTAAATTGTAAAGCTTCTTACAATTCTGCTGTCGCGGTTAACATTGTATTATGTTCTGAACTTCATTTTATGTCGTGCTCCGGGTCCCATTTGAAATAAGAATGACATGTCATTATAGAATGTACAATCACCTGTTTCACTTTATCTACCTTTGCGGTTAAAGTGATCATTTTATTTACCCTTATGATTAAAGAGCGACTTAGCCTACTAATTCACACCTATTAAAATGTCAATTTAACAACCCCTATAAAATAAACAGTTTTTATTGATATTTGTAAGTAGGCTTACCTACACATAGAAAACGCGTGGGATAAGACCCTAGTTTAATTTTTCTTAAAAGGTAGATAAGAGTCATTATGTTGTATTTGTATAATACCAATATGTATAAGTAGAATAAGATAAAGTGGTGCTAAATTATACCTATTAGTGTTTTCTGACGGAAAATTGAATCGTTCGAACTTTGCACTGATATATAACGTGGTTCTAAACGAAAGTACTTGTAACAAATTTTGATTAAGTACATCAGAAAATGTAAACAATGTCACTTCTCACAAATACTTGTATCCGCGACGGCATACGCCTAGCTTTGAACCGAGCTTTGAACAGCTTGCCAGTAATAGATAAATACCTAAGCATTAAAATCAGCTTCCATACCTATTAACGTTCATTTGAACACTCATATTATCTAAACGGTAGGTACAAGACACGAATATCTATCCTATCATTGGTGTCGAAAATTAAATTGTCTAAAATTTACACCCCTTGTAGGTAAATCATGCGAGTACAACTACGCGTTGGCTGCATTATGAATAGGTACCTATACACAGTAGGTATAAGGGATGTACCTACAGGGTTATACCGTATTTAAGACAACGCGTGGCGCATTTATTATAAGATATAGAAAATAACGTTAAATACAAAAGTTGTTGAATTTATCATATATTGCCAGTAAAAACACAAATTAAGATCGCAAAGTTAGTAAAATATGCAAATTTGGTAAATTTGTAATTGTACGCTCTGTAAGTATATTTTTCAAATTTGAATAGGTACTTATCTTTCCTTTCTTAATATACTTATCTATTATATTCCCTGAGAGATTTCCAATTTCATTATTAAATAAAACAAATAAAATAGATACTTAACTAACTTCTGATGATGTTAATGTTAATTTGATTCAATAGTTCACCTAGTTCAATGAATGTTTCACTGTGTAGGTACAACTAATCTCTAAGGGAGGTATAAAGATATCAAGTTCGTCCATTAATTTACAGAGACGAAGATGTAATATAGGAAATTAAATGCCACTCAATACGCTAGGCGATCGGGTCAGAATATCAGGGAAGTGTCTCTACAGATGCGTGCAAAGTAAAAAAAAATATTGCAGCAACCTTAGAGTTACCTACATAAATAAATCACTCCCTATATGCATGGGTCAAAATGTGCACCCAAATATTGATTTGCCCCGAATTGGGAGTAAATTTTACGTTGCAACCTACCTATACTATACTTGCAATGTTTTGAAAAGAAATAGGTAGGTACCTATACTTTCAATTATTAGGTATTTATACCCACTAGTCTATTTTCTATATAGTCTCCTGAAATAACTCCTCAAAGAAAATCATTTCAAAAGAGCACAAGACTATAGGTATAGTTTTGCAAATAAAATTTAATTGCTTTATTTTTTCATAAACACTTTTAAAAATTTGTATTTCACAAATAAGCAATCATCTTGTCCAAATTTACAAAAGACTAAAAATTTACGGGGTTCATAAATACGTTACAATTAAAAAAAACAATTACCTATACCTTAAATCTAAAATTAAACCCTAACCTTCTCTAAATACTACTTAAACATAGAAAATACCGGCTATGTTTCTTAACAATAATTGATGGAATCGAAATAGCAAGATTTAAGTAGGTAGGCACACAAAGCTACGCTATGGGCACAGATGTAAATAGGCTTACTAGTATGTTTACATCTGTGATAAGGGTTATGTTACATACCTACACACAATATACTTAAAAAAAAACAATATTATTAACTTACTCTGTGTATTTAGGTACCTACAACATTAACGACCTTGACGCGTCTCACTTAATAAATAGAAGAATCAATAAATGAAATAGCGATAACGTTGGCGATAATTCCTGATAGAATCGTAAACTAATTTATACATTTAAATAATAGAATGTCACATTATATGATACACGTACTATAAAATGCATTAATAGTTGACAGTATATCAATGAACACTATAGCAGAACAGCACTTTGACCTAACCTAAAAATGAAGGGCCTTTATGTCTGAAGGGCGGGAAACGTTTTCAGCTGAAACCCCCTCCAACCACTTTATAGTCAACAGTCCCGCCTTAATTGCCCCCTAGATTGTTAATGTTCCTGCCAAACAACTAGCTACGTAACAGGCCTGACCAATCCGGTTCGAGATGGGCGCGGCTTACAATATGTGGCGCTGAAGGGTAGCGAAATCTATCGCCATAGGATTACAACTAAATCCCAAGCCCACTATTATATGATTATGCTTCATTATAGTCCCTACACTCGTAGGAAGTAGATGGGCGATCTTGAAATGTAATTTGCCCCGTAAAAAACGACATATGTACTCAATTTCGTGTAATTTAGTTTCGGGTTAATCTCTGAATAGTTTTTATGCAATTATAGTGTGAATTACACATATTATCGAAACTGAACGCGGCAAATTACTTCGGAGTGCTTTGATTATTAACTTGGTAGTTAACTGTGCGTTCCAATTTATTTTACTGGGTGCCGAATTAAATTTAATCTTTAATTTTTCTCGCCTTTTGTGTTTTTTTTTCAAGAAGCGAACAAGGACTTTGTTTTAGTTTACTGGAGTGCGTTTCGTTTTTAAATCATCGGTTGTGTTTTTTCTGACTAGTGTTAGTGCTTATTAAATTCTGGTGGTCTATAATACAATGTTTGCCGAAAAAAACAAAGATGTGCTGCCACTACCAATAGTTGCATCAGAACATGCGATCAAGTGATGCACGTTTAACCGTCACTGATTTTTGAGTTGGTGATTCCGCCGAAGCCAGTGATTGACTTTGCTTATATAGAATGACAACTGCCACAGTTGTCTAAACATCACTCATTCAAGCGCTATCAAAATTCGTCAAGACGTCTCCTTACTTCCTCAAAGTGGATCACAAACCCTTCACGACGTTGAATTTTACCGATTTGGGTTCCCCGTTCGGGGGCCCAAACGAGGATCCACCGGGAACGCCCGCGATGTCGGGCGAGGCGCATCTCGGGCCGCCGACGCCTCAGGATAGTAGCAGCTCGACGCCCGTCTCGAAAAGCGCTTTTATTGAATTGCAACAGCACGGATATGGACCCTTAAGGACTACGTATCAGCACCCCTTCAATTCGCCGGCGGGAAATGCGCATACGGGACCGACGGGACCTCACGACGGGGGGTTTCCCAGTCCCCGAGGGGCCTTAGGTGCTTATCCGTTCCCTCCAATGCATCAAAACACCTATACGGGCTATCATTTAGGATCTTACGCCGCAAATTGCCCCCCCTCACCAAAGGATGATGGTAAGTTTTGCTTGGGAGCTGAAAATTAAATTTCCGGATTTAGTTCACGTTAATTGTCACTTTAATGAACAAATTGTCTTAGTTAAAAGATTCTACCCACTGTTAATTTTCAAACCGCGAAATACCTACTATGCAGAAAAACTTTTTCAAAAATAGTACGACCGCACCAGGGTAGCGGTCCGACGTCAACGTGCAATCGAGCGCCAGGGATGATGAAATGGGCTGTATCTTAATAATATCAGCATCGAGAGAGTTAAAAGTTAATTAGTTCTGTACCTTTATAAGAAAATTAAAAGATCGGACTCGTGTATAGGTACCTACCTATAGGTAAAATACCGCGGTTCGGGTGTCAGACTATAAGTTTGGTCTTTGGGTATAGGTCACCACTTGTCACAATCAAAGCTGCTGATGAAATTAATTTCCGTGATTGTAACTTATATATTTTTAAATCTATACCTACGCAATCAATGACCAAATTGAAAAAGCAACAGGTAATTTCTAATAAACTGTGTTTGATGCGTTAGGGCGGTTTCTGACCAAACCTTGTATGAGGTGTAATAACGACGGACAATTGATACTTCGGTAAATTTAAAAACTAAAATTTTCTTCTGATACTGTGAGCTAACTTTTTCAATTTATAAAATACCTACTTTGCCAAGAATCAAAGTAAAAGTGACAAGGATCTAAGTAATTTTTTCTTATGCGACAAAATGATCCTTTATTTCCTATCATTTATTAGTTAAGGGTTGATATATACTTTACCTAATGTTTTATTACCTAGTTGCTATAAGAGAAAAGGTACCTACTCACAGAAAGTAGGTACCTATACAGAAATTAGATTGTAATACCCAGGGTAATACCTAATGATAAAAAATCAAAAATTTCAAAAACACATTTCTATTTAGATAGCTAGCAAGCCTAGCAACCTAGAGCCTGTTCATGCTAACTTGGTAATTATAAGAGATTAATATACACTCCATTAATATTCAACCAATCAGCGTGGTGATTGTTTGACATTTTAACCAATCAGATGATTAAAAATAGCTACCTAGCTTTTTATCAGAGATAAAAATGCGCGAAGGAAGCCTACCATATTAGGTAATTGTTTGTCAAATTTATTGTATTTATTAATTTCCATACACTCGATCTTGATTTTAAGTTTAATTTCTCAAGTGCTGTTGCTTTCTTGAAAAATTTTCTTTCAAAAGTGCTTTTGATTTCGAGCTTTTCCCGTTGAACAAAACTTTCGTTTAAAAAGATATGTAGGTAGGTAATTATTCGATTAAAAATCAAGCTCTTGATGTCTATTTATCCCCGATAAAAGATCAGTTAGAGAACTAGTGTGTTTTTTACGCTGATTACAATGGTGGAAACAGAAACACATTGACAGTCCCTATCTCAAAATATCGACAAAAAAGCACTTTTTTCTAAATGCGTACCTGCCTAAGTAATTGGGATTTTGTCTTATAAAAACACAATGTACAAAACTGAAAATTAGGTATACAATAAATTAGAAAACTACTCGACAACTGCTTGAAGACCTTAGGTATTTATATTACGACACAACGAATTAATATTCTGAATCAAAGATTATCCGTATTTATTGCATTATTCGTATTAAACTCGTCGATAATGAACTGCTAATAACGGGCGATCAAAAAAGGATTGACGTCGAGTCGCTTTTGGAAATTCAAGTTAAATACGATTTCCCATGTAAACAAAAATTCCAAAGGTGACTCGACAGCAACTCTTTTTTGATCGAATATAGTGGACACCTATATAATAAATGCATCATATAAAGTTTGGTTATAGCTTGAAGAGTGTATAGATAAAGCATATCACAATTATAGGTTCAGGGTCCATTTTCTCCAAAGCAGAGCGATGTGGTTTTAATGACGTTGTAACTGGTCGTTGAATGCACTCCTCCAGAATAATGCTTGCTGTTTTACGGTGTCTCAATCGAAATGAAATTCATCAGAAAACAGAATCTTATACCTACGTAATTATTGTCACCTTTCCAAATACCTCGTCCAAATCCATGTTTTTGTTCTAAACCTACTCAATTAAAGAGGACGTATCTATGGCTAAAGAGTTCTAAAATATGTTTCAAGATATTTGTGGTGGTGAACGTTTCTTGACCATAATACCATACCTGAACTATTAAATAACTCCTAACCAAACGCATATACGTAAACGTAAAAGGATTTGCAAAATAGGTTTATAACGCGGTCTATTGATTTAATTTTACACATAAAACGGTCATATACATATATATAACGCAAAAGAATGGGATCGCATAAGCTACGTGTTCCTTATTTCGTTAGTAAAAATTAGGTGCCTACCTATAAGTTTGATACATATACTTATATATATGCGTGTCTCCTTAAAATAGATGTTATATACGTTTACGAAAGTGGCGTTAAAAGACAACGTCCTTTATAGGTACTAGTTTTATGACCAAAATTCCGGGAAAGTTGAATTTTTGCATAAAGCTGTCTTTTGTGGTTTTAAACAACATCCCAAAAGACCCCGCCGATGCATGCGCGATGTTACGCGAGATCAAAAGTCAAGAATAAGGGTTTTTCGCAAAAGTCTCGCTAATAGTAACTTCTATCGAAAAAATAGGGGTTATCAAATTTGTAGCTTAGGAAATTGCCTGCAAAAAATATATTATTACTAACGGTTTTTGAGAAAACCTTTAAGCAGTTCTAACATTTATTTTTGTCATAATATCTACGTGCACACCTTTCTACACCACCTTTGAGGTGGTTTTTTTTTCTAAGTGGTGTCCCCAATGAGCACAATCCTCGTCTATTTGTGATTGAAAAATATTTATGTATTGTTATTGTTTTTCCTCTATTAAGCAGTGATCTTTTTGATTAATTGTTTGGCCACTTGGAGATATCCAAGTACCCTTATGAATGTCTTTGTGTAGAAAGCGCGTGCTTATAATAACTCACTTAATTTTCCATAGAGAGCATAATACTTTTTTTTCATTTTCATTACTGTTATCGTGCGTACTACTGCCTCTCCAATGTTTGCGTTAAAACCGCCATGTCATACCTCGGTATACTTCGAAGTATTTCTTCTAATTGCTCATAGTACTGGTCTTTTAGTTTTTCATCCTTCTCTTCCGTCGGCGCATGCACGTTAATGAGTTATCTTTCGGTATTTTCCTCTTAATCGGATGCAGCATAATCTGCCCGATATGGATCAAGATTATTACGTGTTTTAGATCTTCTTTTTACCATAAAACCCAAACCGAAGGTTCTTTTCATATTCTGCTACTTCAGTGGTAAAAACGCCTTTCTGTTTTGTTTCTTGTAGCGCCGCTATATCGATGTTATAGTTCTTCAGTAGTTGCGTTAGATTTCCTTTCTGCTTCATATCCTGACCGCGACAATTGCCGCAAACTGCCCAACCTTTCTGCAACCACAGTTCAAGGTACATACAGGGTGAAGCTCGTTACCAAGCCATATACACTTGGTAGTAGATGCGATACAAATGTTGCCCTGCAGCAGCTAGAGCTAATGTTTATTAGTGACTCAAAAATTAAAAGAACAAGAGAACAAATTGTAATGTTTTTCAGTACACCACGGCATTTTAGTGAACTTATAACCTATTTCAAGTGACTGGACATAACTGAATAAGAAAACTAACTGGCCGGCAGCAGCAGGTTTGCAGTATAGCAAATCTACACGAACCTTGCACGAACCAACGAACCGAACTCCTTTGATGTGTGCACTTTTCCGACCGCCAACGAATCGTACGAACCACGCACCACGTACCGCGAGCGCACCACGAGCCAATAGCGAACCGTCTTGTCTTGGCGATCGATTATTTAAAATTTTTGCTTCCGTTGCCAATAGCTAGCCTTAGAATTATCGCGCTAAAAAATTTTATATTTTATAAGTACATTTAGGTAGTAGGAGTCAACTTTTACTCGGAAACCAGACTTTTGATCCGGCTCAGTATGAACACTGCCTTAGGGAGTGATAACACCAACGTTTTTAAATTGCAGGCCTTGTCCAGTTCCACCAGAAACACATATTCCGGGACCAAAAAGTAGAGGGTATGTAACATAAAGTGATTTGAAGAAACTACCAATATCACTAGGGATATGCCTCAAAATTCCAATTCTGGGCGTTTGGATCATTGCGAAATCGAGGAAGATCGAAAAACATTTATTATAAACGTCGTAATAAACATGTTTCTTGTTCATTTGGTAGTATCTAAGGTAACGGGTTTTAATAGTTTTGAGAATGTGCTTCTTTTTTAATTAGGTACTTTTAAAATAACGGGAGACTTGATCCCCTAAAAAACGCCTCAGTGTATGAAAATTTTAAATCATCTAGAACAACTTTTTGTTATACCGTTTATTGACGCCAAAATGTTGTTGCGCATATTATAATTTTAAAGTGGTGTTTCTGGGATTGCGGGATTTCGTTTTTTAAATCAAAATTACAAATTACAATCGATGGTTTCTCTTAAAAATTGAAAAGGAAACTCTGTATAAGTATTATAAGTGTATAACTATATACATTATGTTCAAAATAAAGCCGCCACTGTTGCTAAATTTGAAGCAATAATGCCGATTTTAGGTTGAGCACATTGTACCTATACGTTATATATATGTATATCGAGGTATACCAATCGTCTCATATGGTTTTGATATCGAGGGGGAAGTTCAAAAATGGTACCTAGAGAATTTTAGGTTTGACTTCTTCGCTCCCCAGCCACCCCACTTCGAAATTTAAAATGGAACCCCCTTTCTTGTGATACATTTTTTGAAAGGGCATAAAATTCTCTACTCAAGCATAACAAAAAAAAATGAAATCGATAGATTGGGTCTTAAGATCGACTACACAGAAGATGGAAGGAATCAATTTTAAATTTCGAAGTGGGGTCGCTGGGGGGCGAAGGGATGAAACTTAAAATTCCCTAGGAACCATTTTTTAACTTAAGTACTTATATCGTATATTACGTATAAAATATTGTAT